GAGACCAGCCTGACCAACATGGTGAAACCCTGTCTCTACTAAAAATACAAAAATTAGCCGGGTGTGGTGGCAGGCACCTGTAATCCCAGCTACTCAGGAAGCTGAGACAGGAGAATCTCTTGAACTTGGGAGGCGGAGGTTGCGATGAACCAAGATCGCACCATTGTACTCCACCTTAGGCAACAGAGTGAGACTCCATCAAAAAAAAAAAAAAAAAAGAAACATTGAAAACCAGTCCAGGGTGACTCTGACATCCAGGGGTCTTGGTCTAGCATTGAACTTGGCAGTGCTTGGGATAATTTCAGCTTGTTAACATGCATGGTTTAGCTCTCAGAGTGTTTTGTTTCATCTTGTTTTCATTCAGGTGCTTTGTTTGAAAATTAATAGCCCTATTTAAAAACAACAGTATTTCCTATGAAAATCCAGATTTCTAACCAGTCTTAAAAAATCTGAAGGTCGATTAAGTCTGTGCCTGAATTTCTCATGGCAGTTATTTCCTAGATCTTAGGTCGCTCAGTCCTCGCCTGTCCCTGTTCCCCAACCCGGCCCCCAACCACATCTCTGTTTTTAATCTCTGCTTTAAATCTCTGCCATTGCTGGTGGGAGTGTCGTTTTGGCTGGCTGTGTGACTCAGTTTACCTACTTATCCACAGCAGGGGGGGAACAAAAGCAAGCAGGTAGCTCCATCTCCTGAGCTTTTAAGAAGTAATCCGGCTGTGTGCAGTGACTCATGCCTGTAATCCCAGCACTTTGGGAGGCCGAGGCGGGTGGATCACCTGAGGTCTGGAGTTCGAGACCAGCCTGGCCGACATGGTGAAACCCCATTTCTACTAAAAATACAAAAATTAGCCGGGTGTGGTGGTGCACACCTATAATCGCAGCTACTTGGGAGGCTGAGGCACAAGAATTGCTTGAACCTGGGAGTCGGAGGTTGCGGTGAGCGGAGATTGCACTCCAGCCTGGGCAACAGAGCAAGACTCTGTCTCAAAAAAAAAAAAAAAAAAGTAACCCTAGAATCCTTGTGTTGTATCATTTTTCTAGATTGAAACTTTGATTTCATTCTGCTATTTATGGATTGTTCCTGCCCTACTCACAGCCTACCTTCTTTACATTAAAAAGGAGGCCCCTTTCTGCAACACCTGAACTCGAAGATGCTCTGGTTGAAGATGCTCTGGTTGAAGGTGCTCTGGAAATTAGCACAGATTAGTTTACTACATTCAGGCCACTAAGTAGAGAGGCCCGGCTGGATGAGTCGGAAGAATCACAGCCACTCTGTATTGTGTTCCTACTAAATGGGCCCTTTTTGTATAGGATCCAAATTTATTTTCACAGCCACTCAATGCAGCTATAAGAATTATTCTCCCCATTTGTCAAGCTTCTGGAGTTTACTTGATTTTTCTGAAGATCACGCACTGGTTAAATGCTAGAATTTGAACCCAAGCTTTTCTGGCCCCAGAGCCACAGGAGCAAGGTAGGACTGTGCAAGGATTCCATGGAGGTGGTTAGTTGTCAGAAGTGGCTCGGATGTTGGTGTTCCCCACCCTTAGGTAGAGAAGGAAAAACCCTTTTTCTTCTCTGGATAGCAGCTAATAGGTGATTTGTGCAAACAAAGTTGTGTCTCAAGAAGGGGTCCCATTGTAAATGTATTAACTTGTCTGTGAATTACTTGTTTCAGCCTAGTCAGGATTTATTCTCTGTGCACTATTTGTCAGGCACTGTGCTAGGAGCTGAGTATAGCGCAAGTTAAAAGCAGGGACTGCGAGGTTACACCTTCTGGTTTAGAATTCTGATCTACTGTGTTGCATTGGATGAGTGACTTCACCTCTCTGAGCTGGTTTCATAATATTATATGAAAATATTACCTATACTCATTTGGTCATTGAGAGGATTAAATGAGATGCTGCATATGCAGCGTTTGGCATAGTAAATGTCTATGACGATAGTGATGTCAATGATTATGTCATTGTTATGATGAGCATAGAACTAAATTGTTGCTGGTAGGAGAAAGAAACAGATGGAGAATGGGCCTGAATTGTGCCTCTAGGTGCCTGAGTACATTTTGTATAATTGATGTGCATCCGTAATTGACAGGTGGTACCCACATGTCGCAGGACAGCATAAAGAAGTCTCAGGCTAAGGAAATGTTACTTACTCCTCCCTCCAAGACCCTAAACCCAAAGGTCTCTTGACAGAATAGCTCACAAATTCCAACTCTTGAGCATGAGTTTCCAGCTGGGATTTTCTCATTTACAGGAAGTTAGGGCAGTAGTTTAGCATTCATGTAATAGTAGAACAAGCCAACGTCCCATTCACTGCCACTTTCCTCTCTGTTAGCTGTGGCCTCACCTGCTGCGTGAATAAACCTACCTGTAGCCCATCATCCGTGGTCCCTCCCAAGTGACCAGAGCTGGGCATGGCTCGGCTCACATTCTTTCACTGGTGGTATGTTAGGGAGAACTCTTTTGGTGGGAAATGACAGAAACCCAGCTCAAACTAATTTAAGGGTAAAGAACATTACCAGATCAGGTAACTAAAACATTAGGGCTGACTTCAGGTATGGCTAAATCAAGCCACGCAAATTATATCATCAAGCCCAGACTTAGTTCTGTTTTTCTGTGTGTTCTTTTAATTTTCTGGCACTGAGTGGGGATTATTGGCAATATATTACCCTCCTTTTATAGATAAGGGAACTGAGACTCAAAAAGGTGAAGTTACTTGGTCAAACTCACAGCACTCGTGCCCAAGTGAGTGTTCAGGGAGTCCAAGCTCATAATTCTCACGTGATGAAGCCTCTCTGTGTTCTAGGTCTGCTTTCTCCCAATGCACTGGTGACTTTGAGGCAGCTACACTGCTTCTCTTGACTTCACTTTCTCCCTTTGAAAAACAAGGGGGTTGAATGAGAAAGTCTCCAAATTTCCTTCCCGTTCTGATATTTCATGTGTCTGGACCAGCCCTGGTAAAAGAGGAAGTGACGGAGGCAGAGATCTTGAAAGACAGAGAGATGGGGAGGAACAAAGGCAAGCAGTGAAATACAGAATAGGCCACAGGGTGCCTCCGTTTTTAATTCCATGTAGCTCCTAATAGCAGTGTTGACCTTCTATCTTCATCTCCAGCCTTGAGCAACCAATTTGGACTTCTGGCTCCCACTGTGAAGAGATGGCATAAAGGCAAACTAGTATTCTAATAGCTGCCAAATTGGTCCTGATTGTTTCTATTGTTAAATGAAGGGGAGGGTTGTGTTCACTGTTTCTCCTTGCTTTCCTCCAAAAGTAAAGTCTCTAGATAGACTGCAAGACAGGTAGCACAACTGTCATTTTCCCAGGCAGCCCCAGCAGGGCTTGCGGAAGCAGGTGCCCGCACATTTACTCTCAGCCTGAATAATCAGGTCTTTGGAAACATCCCTACAAGTCTCTGGCCTTGGCTCAGGGAGCGTCAGAGAAGGTTTTCAAATCTCTGAAACCTGTTCAAGTCTCAGTGTGTGAGGACAGGACTGTTCCAGGGAGCTGGAAAGTGAAAATTGGAGTTTCTCTGGGCCTTTTCCTTCCCTGGTTGATCTAATTTCTCCACTTCATCCAGGGTCACCAGGGCACCCGTGTTAGCCCTGGGACACAGTGTGTGAAGCGCAAGAGCGTAGATGCTGGAATCCAGCCGCCCGGGTTGAAATGCCAGCTCTTCCAGACCACCGCCATGGGATGTCAGCAAATGGCTTTGACTGGCCATGCCTCTATTTCTCCATCTTTATAAAATTCGAATAATGATAATGGGAATGGGGAGATGGAG